CAACAAATTCAGCACAGTACTATACGGATATCCAAAAATGGATATGTAGCTGCCCCGCCTATTTAATTAATAGATTTATGTTGTGTAAACATCTAATTAGTAAAGCAGGTGGTAATTCAATTAAACTTACATCTATACATCGATATACAAGATATCCATTTGTTTATATCGAGCATGTTAATACTAAACCATTAGATTCTTCAACTATTGAATTAGATATTAGTTCAAATTCTGACAATAGTCATAATTTTTCTTTTTCACATATATTTTCTGATATTAATTCTGAAGACAATGTGTTAGATAGTTTTCAACTAATGGTCAATGACTTGAAATATTTAGTAACCGATTTAGAAAAAGAAATTGCTAATGGTAACAATCGACATTTAAAAGTAGTACAACATCATATACAAAAAACTCTTAAAATCGCGAAAGATATTAAAGAATATCGTAATCGTCTTGCTAACCCTCAAATCTCAAAAGCAAAAGAATGGACAATGTTTTTATCTTAATTACGAATGTAAGTAGATTTTTTTTTTTAATTACTAATTATTTTAAGTCGAATAATATAATAATATTGTTTTTTAGAACATATATAGATATTGTCACCTTGCTATTAAGTAATCTACGTAGCACTTTTGAACATTAAATAACTACTATTAGTATTATTATTCTTTTTGTTTTTTTATTTTGATACAAGTTTTTGGAGATTTAACGATTATAAACTATTACTCATAAGCGGTGTCAGTACATATACAACAACTGCTATAAATTTGTAATGAATAGCAAAATATTACGTTATTAGCCTTAGGCTCAATATTTTTTTTAATAATTCTAGACTTAGCTTTATTCTTAAGTTCAATTTGTCCAAATAACAATATTTTCAATCTAAAATAATTCAATTACGGGAAAAAATCAACCATGTCTAAGATAATGCAATTAACTACTGCATGAATGCTGCTTGAGATCTAAAAAATGCATATACCGGTACCCAATTTTCCATATACATAATTGGGCCTTAAAACCCAGTTTATTGAAATGATTATGCTTATA